CCTACATTCCAGATACCCTGATGCTGGGAACAATAGACGGCAAAAGAAGAAGGGGACGGCAGAGGATGAGGTGGCTAGATGGAGTCACTGGGGCAGTGGGTGTGAGCTTGGGCGGACTCCGAGGGATGGTGGAGGACAAGAGAGCCTGGAGGAATGTTGTCCATGGGGTCGTGATGGGTCGGGCACAACTTTGTGACTAACAACAGCATTCCAGATGTTTCAGCCTTTAGCTCCTACCAGTCCCAACCAGCATGGCCAATGATCTGGGCTAACAGCAGCCATATTCTGAAACATTTGGTAGGGCCCTAGTTGAAGGAATTAGTATTGGCAAATGAGTACACATTCAGGTTATTAAACTGGAGAAGGAAATTCAAGGGTTGTTTCTCCACTTTTAACTGCACAACGATACTGTAAGGTAGGCTTGATTGAGAAAGAGTTTTATTTGAACATGTCCCAGTCATAGTCCAAAACTGCACCATGCTGGTTTTCAGTGCATATGCATTGGATATCTGTGTTGGAAAAGGAGCATCAGATATTGTGTGAATCTCAGGTGGAACAAGCATAGCCAGTGGGTGGTATGCCCAAGGTGTTGAGACCGGCAGGCAAGCCTAAAGCCAAAGCCATTACAATGGTTTAGACTGAGTCACAGATCAGAGAGAACAGTCTTAAAGGGCCAGATGAAATTCTACTGGTTCTTTGTTGTTCCACTGGACTCTTCTGAGTGGGCAGCTGCAATAACACCTTCTGGCTACCTGGAGTGGTGGCACTGAAGTGCAGAGGTGAGCAGGCTACCACTTGTCATCTTTGTAACTCCCATGGGAGCAAGGAAATGAAGTCTTTCTACCAGGATCCCTGCTTTGGGACTACTGGTTGCTGACTCTGGACCTTTGCTTTCCACTGCTAACTATTAGAAAGCCCCCAGTCAGACAGGGTGCTGATTTGCTGAATACTACTCATAGCTCAAGAGAAAGTTCATATCTGAGGGTACTTCCCAATCCTGGGTTGGATCCAGTCTGAGTCATACCTGGAATAGACTGATAGAAATCGATGGGGTTGAAGTTATGTGCAAGTGATTTCAGTGAGTTTACACCAAGTATGCCAAAATCTGGATCAAATCTCAGGCTTTGATTGTGCTATCACCCTGCCTCTTGTACAGAATTTTCCACTTGTAACCCTCCTAGGTTTTCCCATGGTTTCTTCCACCTTCCACCTTACCAGAAGAAAACTTTTAATGAGAAAGATGGAATGTTTGTACAATGTCTTTTGATTCACTAAAATTAGAAGCCTTCCAAGCAGAAGCAGCATGAATCAGAATGGCTACTACCAGCTGGTTACAGCTTTAAAAGTGTACCAACAAGTTTTCTTTCACAATTATGACAATGAAGACATTTCCAAAGTCACAGCTTTTGGAGTAACAGCTAGTCACAACATTCACATATCCTGAAACCCAATGTATTTGTTTCTTGCACAGTAGAAAATGTTTCCTAGATTGGCATCCAACCACTTACAGCTGTTTCAGGATATTAAGTCCTGAGCCACAAACTGTCCATCTGAAAACATTTGCCAGCCCAAAATGAGAGAAGCTGACCTTCCTTGCAACTCTTTACGTGCCAGAAAGAGGTGTACATTACAAGCATGCAATCTGTCAGGGTTACAGCACATACTTTGACAAAAGGTCATTTGCAAAGTCACAGTGGGGCAGATTGAAAATGTGGGCTTTATCAGCCTTCTCCAAACTGGTGCTGTGTAGATATGCTGAACTACAATTCCCATCATTCCCAGGCAGCCTAGACAAGCAGTGTGATGTTTATTTACATGGCCATGAATTTTATCTTATAATGAATTAGAGGTAGTTAAACAAAACCTGCCACCTTGACACAAATGAGGTTACAAGACATTTGGCTAATTGCAACTGGGAAACCCTGCTCTGAAACCTATAAAGCTCTCTGCTCTTCAGGATTAACTGTACATTTCTAATCAAGTTTGAAACTGTCCTCCCATTCCCATCATATTAACAACCAGTTCCTATATTATTGGTTTGTCTGCACATAGCAATGTTAATTAAAGCACTATTACTCTAATCATTGGTGGGAATAGAATTCCTGGTGCTCCTTCCAGGATCAGTTTGCACTGACTTTTGAGATGAGAAGGCTGGGAAATGGGGAACGCAGGCATCAAGACTGCAGAGGAGCGTGAAGTAGGTTATCTCAAGTCTGCCATCTCCAGGTGCTCAGGCAGACCATGAGAACAAATATGATTTGAAAGTGAAGAGAGGGGGCATGGAAGAGGAATAAGACAAGCCCAGTCTAATCCCTGGCCCCATGATGCTGCTCAAATTAGAAGAGCTACTCAATTAGAGGGCCTGCCAAGAGCTGAGAGGTTAGTCCTTCTCCAGAAGGGCCCACATAGGAGGGTGGAGCCCAAGGTTATTGAAAAGGGGAATTTTCAGAAATAATTTCTAGTTGGATTCTACAAATCACTGCTCATTCCCAGAGCCTTGTCTTCTAGTGGGTACAGTTAGCTGTGGGTTGGAAATAAAGAGCAATTTTGCAAAAAGACTGTTGGTTGCTTGAAATGAGTAAGGAGAAACCCAGTGCCCAACAATCATTTTACTTCATTTGCTTGTAATGCTCTTTCTCGCTATCCTGCCTTCTGTGCTGAAGCGTTTATAAAACACTAAGAATGCAATTCTATATCCACTTAACTGGAAGTAAGCCCTTTTGCTCTCAATAGGATCTGCTTCTGAGTAATTAAATTTAGGATTGCGCTGTAAGCAAACCCCATACAAGTCTACTAAAGAGTGAGTCTCACTGAGGTCAATGTGATCAGAGTGAGCATAAACCTGAGCAAAAAGGACCCTTTTATGTAGACATGAACAGCAGGGATGCAGCAGTACCAGACGTGTTACAACCCAACTTCCACCCACTCCAGACCACATAGGAGCGATGGGAGGTGCAGTACAGCAACATCTATGCAGCCTCATGTTCTCTAGCTATGCTGTATAGAATTCACTGAAAAGGTGAGTAATGACTACTCCAAGTGCTTTATAAAATAGAGAGCAGCTGGGATCACACAGTATAACAAACAACCCTGAATGGATTTCAAGGTGTGTGGTTTTTTGCCTCTGCCTGACAGACAATTAATTATATTCTCTAGCATGAATTCTACCCTCCTCATGAAGTGCTTCCACTAATAGCACACATCTCCTCAGCCACCACACCTGAAAATCAATCCCACGTTGGATGGCTGCAGTATCTCCTGCAGGAGCTGCCACTTTTTCCTGCGGACTCTGTCAGAGCACCATGGAAACTACAGTGCTGGGTTTGGATGATCAAAGAAACCATGGTGAAACATGGAACTCATAGAACAGACCATTGTTTCTCAGCATGTTCAAAAAAACAAAAAACAAACATGCCATTCTGAAATATCATGGCAGGGTTCAGATGACGCTGGAAAATCCTGTCAAGAAACAACTGCGGCTTCTTGTGTCATCTGAACCCATCAACCATTCGAGGGATTGTGGAGGAGAAGCCATGCATTTCAGTGCTAAAGTCCAGAAAAATCCGGATTGAAAAGAAAACATATGCATAAATCGGGGGCTTGGAAGGTGTGGTTCTCTAGAAGATGTGGAAGCAAAGCTTTCAGTATCTGTCACCATTCCATCTGAATGGAAATGGCAACATATGGAGGGATACACATTTCCCACCTCTGAGATATATATATATATATATATATGAAGAGATTTTCGGTTATGACATTCACTTAAACAAGTCCTATGTACTGTTCAGTTCATTTATTTGGTTGTTCAAGCACAGTTTAGCTCTGCTAGTCTCTGAAAAACTGCTAATCATCAGGTGTGCATGTCCTTCAAAGAGCCAGTGCTTTAGCATATTCCAGGCACTGTTTCAGAGTGCTCAAAATGTTAGGCTATGAGTCTTCCAAATTTAAAGAATGCTCAACCTATCAAAGAACTACTTATTATTTAAAAGCATGCCAAGAGACACTTTACATACCTTAAAAACTGACAAATTCAATATGATGATAATAATGTGTTTTATTATTTGATTATCATCATCATTTGATTATCATCATCAAGCATGTCTATAAAAATAAAACCAGAATTGGAATTGTATGCCAATTTTCATCCACCAACTTAGTCTGAAGAAAACCACTGAAGCACTTGTTTCTTTTTAGGAGATATCCTGGATAGAGATAGAATAATAATAAGCATTATTATTTCATTTTTATACCACCTCATAACCAAAAGTCTCTGGGCAGTTTACAATAGTTTTTTTATAGTACAACCTCAGATTAGGGTGTTATTTGGTTTCAAAAGACTTTTATGTAAAAGCATACCTCTAAGGAAGCAAAGGCAGAGAAAACACCAAATATTTGGGACCAGAGGCTAAAATCCAAATGGCTCCCCCTAGTGGTAAAAATATAATTAAATAGGGACAGTTTGCGGCCCTATACCAAAAATGGCCTCACCCTCTTAATGGCAGTGCTGGCCCTGAGTTAAGATGCTTTACATGCTGTATTTGGCAGATAAAAACAACAGTCTGGTGTAAACAGTAAACTTCTTATCACTAGGGAAAGTACACCTGTGGAAATCGAACTTGAATTATGCTGCTTCTTTGGGCATCTCAAACCATAGAGAATTTTCATAACTGCTCTGCCTCTGCAATCTGCTGCTTTCATTTTTGACAATAGCTAAAATATTAATGTGGTACAATTTTAAAACCCCAAGTTATAATTATAGTATATAAGATTAATAATTATTGTTGCTTGGTTAAATATAGTGCCATTCCTCCCATAGCAGGAAGGCAGGCCAGCAGTATTTGCAAATATACACATTTTAAAGCAACTGCTCCTCTGTATACATGTTTTTGTTCCACTGGAATTCCAAGGGCCTCGTATTTCAATGGAGAGTCTCCAGGCTGCTGGCAGGAGTCTTAGCAATGCCCAAGTGTTGTCCGAGCTGGTTTCAAATCTCAAGCAGTTCATAGTACATGATAGATGAGCTTGGGATGGGGGGTCTCTGGAGTGCCTGGCTGTGACCCAGGACTGGTACTGGGAGAGAGGGAAGAAGAGTCCTGTAGGGAAAACCCAGCCTGATCGGAGGAAGAGATGCGATCCACAATGCTGGATAAGCAATCCAAGCTGGAGAGGGCTGTGCTGTCTTCCAAGGGATATGCTGCAGAAAGCAAGAAAGAAAAACATTCAGGGGAAAGACGTAGGTAGTCACGGGGCTGGACTCAGAGCCAGGATCTAGCACCCTCCAGCCATGGAGAGAGAGGCAGCATCAAGCCCCTGAACCCACATGGGAAGGGCAAGTTGCTAGGCACTTAAAAGATGGGGGGTCAGGCCCACAGACCCAAATCTGCATATGCTCATTGATATCTATATATGAACATTTAGACTCAGCTTTGTTTAAATTTCACAGGAGGCAAAGCCAGCCAATTCATTTCTCATCCAAATCTTCTCAAATAAAATAAGCTCTTACATTAACCTGCACCATGGTCCAGATAATCTGAAGCCAATGGAAGAAGTCCTCTCTAAGCGTAAAGCAGGGAAGGACTGGGAGAGGTAACTGAGCACAGGTGTACTGGAGCTCACCAGGGCTGACTCTGGCCCTCTCAGCCTCCTTTCTTCCCATATATTTTTTTTCCGTTCTATGTCCTGCCTTTTTCCTACAAAGGGCTCAAGGCAGCTTACATCATTTTCCTCCTCCATCTTAACCCCACAACAACCCTGTGAGGTAGGTTGGGCTGAGAGTCTGTGACTGGCCCAAAGTCACCCAGTTGGCTCCATGGCTGAGCGGGGACTAGAACCCAGATCGCCTGAGTCCCAGTCCCGTGCTCTTAACCACTACACCACACTGGCTCATATTTACAAAGGGAAAAACAGCCAAGCATGTACATCATTGCTGACGTTCTTATTATTAATTTTCCTTTTAAGATATAATTTTCTGCAATACAATGGTGCCTATTCCCAAGTAAATGTGTTTGGCAGCAGGATGGCAAAAGCAAACTCCAGTTTATTGCTCCAGTTGTGAAAGTGCTATGATTTCAGTGAATTTAAAACACGACATGGGACAACTTCAGAGGGTTTCTTTCATTTTCTTTTTATCAAGGTTGATATAAAGAGTGGGTTGTTTTGGCTGTTTGCTCAGAAGCACTTGTAGAGTGTATACAAGCACTTGTAAAGCATGGAATAGTGATGTTAGGGGGAAAGTTATTTGTGTACTTCCCAAATAAACAGGGTCATCTAAATGGAAGGCTCATAAGACCATTAAAATCAAGGTCTAAACTTATCTAGCTGCACTGCTGCCAAGAAGGGACCACAAAAGTCAGCTAGTCCAACTCTCTGCCAGTGGGGAAGACCCCTTGCTGCAATGCCCCTAATAGGTGACCTCTGTCTAATAATTGACTAAAGAGACTTCTCCAGTTTCTGAAGCAGTCTGTTCTGTTGCCAAACAGCTCATACCATCAGGAAATTGTCCTAATGCTTAGTTAATATCCCATTTCTTGACATTTGGACCCAGTGGTTCAGGACATGCTCCTCTCTGGAGAAGAAGACAAAGTTATGTGACAGGCCTTCAAATATTTGAAGGTAGCACCTGGCACCTCTTAATGGTCTCTTCTCCAGGCTAAATACTCTCAGTTCCTTACATCTTTTCTCATTAGAATGGGTCCAAGCTATATCCATTTGTTCATCTACCCAAGTCCCATTAATTTCAATGGGTCTACTCCAAATAGGACTCACACTGGATACAACCTGTATAATAAGATGCTTGTATATTTTGTTTTGCATACTGTTCTTGTATGGAACCTTGGGCATGAACAGGCTGTTAACAAACATTATTGATCATATGCAGTGAAAGCATCCATCCCCAAAGTCTGCTCTTGGTCCCTGGAATTGTTCTCTCCAGATCAGAAGTGCTCAGGTTTGACACTACTAGTGCTATTCTTAGAATGGGATGGACTTGGAGCCTTACCATTTGGGAGATCAGAACAGTAGACATTTTCGTAAGTGCTGTTTCTCCTGTACCAGATAGGGCTGTTGCATTCAACCTGAAACAGGCAAGAAGAGGGAAGTTCCATTGTTATTGATTGGCATGATAGCAAGGGTACAAACAAACACAGGAAGCTTAGAACATAAGAAGATGCCTAATCATGAATTAGATAACTGGTCATCTAGCTTAGGGGTTTTTACAGCCAGTTGCATAATTCAGAGTACTAAGTTAGAGGTTTTGTTTTTGTAATGCATAGTAAAAAACCATTAAAAAACCAAGCATTGCAAAAACAAAACCTCTAACTTAGTACTCTGAATTATGTAACTGGCTTCAAGCTTTATGGGGTTTATGGGGCTTTGGTTTTTCCCAGCCCTACCAGGAGATATACCAGGGATTAATTCTATGAACTTTGGCATGCAAAACATGTCCTCTACTCCCTTTCCCTATTTGTATTCTTTGGGAAAAGTTTACTTGCAAAGGAACTTTTATGGATGGACTTTGCTCCAAGTCTGAGTGAAGGTATGTTTGGAGGTAGAGATTTTCTCCTAGTTTTCAGTACCTAGGTATAGGGGTGTTTCGGTATGCATTTTCCAGAACAGGGGAGAGGGCTGTTTTATTGTTAAGTGCAGGTACTTGTCAGAAAAGGCCTCATAGCCATAGCCAGGTGGTGAGCACAAAGGTGTGGACAGTGATGCTGAGCCATACCAATGTTATTCAGAGCTATACCTTTTCAGTGTGTAACTCCTATGCTGTGGGAATTGCACTGGCTGCCTATTCACTATGGAGCCAGGTTCGGGCACTAGAGTATAAAACCCTAAAAAACCTGGGACCAGGATACTTCTTGCCTACTGAACCACTGAGGTCATCAGGTGTGCCTGGTGGTTTCATATGCACCTGTGTCCCGATCAAGGTCCATCTAAGGTCCATTCAACATAGTGGCTCCATCTTTGTGGAAGTCCCTGCCTTTGGAGGTCAGGCATGCACAACACTGTTGTTTCTGGAGTCTTCTGAATACATCCTTATTTCAGGATGTGCCTTAACTTCCCATTCAAGACCAAGCCATCCCACAGTGCTAGACAGTTCCAGAGTGAACAGTATATGGGTGCATAATCTCTCCCCTCCTCCCTATTGGCTATAATGAGGATCACAGCTAAGCCCAGAAGGAACAAAGAACTTGGAGGATGGATGTAAATGACACCAGCATTCCTGCTAATAATAAATAAAATTATTTTAAAAGTGTTTCTTCTGTATTCCTATGAGTCCTGACTCTACCAGACCACTGCAGCTTTCTAACTAGGCCACTCTAGTCCAGATTCTGCATGGTAGGATGTATAGAAAGCTGCCATCAGAAGCTCTTTGGCATTCTGCTTCCAAAACAAGAGGTTTCGGCATGCCTGGTTTACAGAGCCACCCAACTTGAAAACCCTGTTCCTACTAGCCCTTGGTGTATGGTTACTCAATGGAATGTTTATGTAGTCAGAGAGTCTCTTTCTTATGCCACATGTTCAAGGTCGGAGACCTGGTGTTAAAATCAGGAGTCCTGGTGAGCTGCAGTCCACTTTTAAGTCTTAAAAGTGGGCTGCAGCAACGTCCTACCTTCCTTCAGGAAGCAGGCTATGGGACATCATGCTACTGTTGCTGGAGCAGAAACACAGTGGAGTCAGTGGGAGAGGAGGAAGAGCGCCACAGTGTGAGGTTAAAATGTTTAGCACAACATGTCTGCATGGCCTCTTGTTCCCCAACTTTGTGATTCTGTTTTACTGCTGAAAATAGGAGTAATAACAGGGTTGATGGAAGTGCTACTGAACTGCTACTTCTTTGGATAGTACTGACACATTTGAGGCATCTAATGTAGGATTAGGGGACAGAAGCCCAGGACCTCACAAAGCAGGGCGACCCCCAAGTGCTGCAGAGACAATTTACCCCACATCATCCTCCCTATGCATTACCATCCAAAGTGCTGCCCTCCCCGTAAGAGTCCTGAGTCTAAACTTACCTAACAGTGACCCTGAAATCAGGCGGGTGTTAGGAACTATACTGAGCAAAATGTGTGCCTCAATGCTTGTGTCCTCCAGAGGATGTGTTTGTGTGTGCTCTGCTCCCATCCTTCTGAGAAGCCAGCCAGCCAGCCGAGTCTTCCGTTTCAAAGCCCCTTTGGATGGCACCACCTCCTCCAGCCTGCTTTCTCAGAAATGAGGCAAAGGAAGAGGGAGCCAAGGCCAAGCAGTGTCATTCTTTCCAGGATGCACGTACAGCACTGACCATGAAGAATGGATTGGAGCAAAAGAAAACTACAACCAGCCAAGAAAAGGAAACTTTCCCAGGACTTAAACCCATGACCAGCAAAGCTTGGCATGTCAGTAGCAAAGCAACAAAGAATGTACCATAGCACACACTAGTGTGTGAGAGAAATGTCATCAAAAATGAACATGGGAGAAACAAACACTCCGTCTCATCTGATGAGATGGTGATGTGCGTGGCCGCAGAGGTGGGAAGGCACCTCCGCCCTTATGCTGCTCTGTACGTAAACAGTCTTCATCAGATGAGCACACAGTAGAAAACTCTAGTGGTAAAATCTTCTGTACATTTACTCCTATGCGAGCCGGTTCTAAAAGGCTCACACCAAAGGAATTGAATCTAGGATTGTGCACTCTTTTTCTCACATATGCACGCGTACACACACACAGACATGTGCAGGGGCATAGCAGAGGAGGACACCGGCCCACAGCTTTAGGACCTTTTCCAGAGTGAGAGCAAGGAGGCCACCTGCTGCAGCCAGGTAATTGCAGGCCCTGCTTGCACTTGCAGCTGAATGAGGTAATGGGGAGGCTTTCAAGTTCTGACTATTCTAAAATGGAAAAAATACAATGAAGTTGGATACTATTTCTGCTTCACTCTACAAGTTTAAACCATGACACTTTTTTTCCTAAGGTGCTTAGCATGTCTAATGCTAGGTGAAAGATGGGATTTCAGCTGGCTGAAGATAAACATCATGTGTTTCGCCTGTTCAAACAAATAGAGTCAGAATTAAGCAGCACTGAGTTCAGTGGTTATAAGCCTTGTCATTGGGCTGATACTAATAAATTGAGTATCCCACTGCAGCCCTTTGGTTTGTGAATGCACATTGTGATTATGAGTTCCTCCGTTGCAACTTTAGCACTCTCTCTCCCTCTCATGTGCACACACGTGAAGGTCATTCTCCAGGACAATCCTGTTAGACAATTGCGCAAGCAGATTCCCACTTAAAATATAACCACACCCAGGTATTTTGAAAGACAATAACAGCTAGCAGCAAGTCCTCAGTGGAACTTTTTCCCAGCCAAGCATGCTAGGACCCTCGCCAGTGACTCCCACACACACTGCTTCATGGATTCGACACATGAAAGCCTGCTTGTGTCAAGGAACTTCAAAGCAACCTATGGGAAGAACCTAAGTCGTGAGTGGCGCTAATTGCCTTCGGGACTCTGGCCAGTAAGGCTCATAATACAATGCCACGAGCGCTTACTCAGAATCAACACCCACCGACTTCCGCGTCGTTAATCCCAAGTAAACGGGCGTGGGATCGCAACCTGAATGCCTTTACAGAGGAGACAGTCCCGTTGGGACCAACTGCCACGCAGGGCACTATCCAATGCATGTCGAGCCGGGAAAAGCCCTACAATTCCTGGCAATCCTAGGCCAGACTAGGATCTTTTCCCCCCCCCCCCCCCCCCCACAAGCATAGGATTGCTTCGACTCCACTCCTTTGTGGATTCTGCTGGGTCGCAGCAGCGCACTCTGGGAAAGCACCTCGGCAGCCCGGTTCTTACATATTTACGAGAAAGTGGGTTCCCCACCACACGCCAGTGCGGCTTACCCGCCATGTAGCGGACGGAGGATTGCTGCTTGACCCTTTTCAGGCCTAACGTATCCTGCAAGATCCCTCTGAGGGAAATCCGAAGGATGCATGAGCTGCACGCTTAAGAGCCCAATCCTGCGCATGCCTAGCAGTCAGTCCCGCCAAACAAGAGAGCTTAAGTCACTGGGCGTACGGCTGCACGAAAGTTTCCTTCTCCGGACTATTTACACTGTGTAACCCAGGCAGCAACCCATTTTGTTCTGGCCCAAATCGGTTCATTCGAACAATCGTCATTAAAATATTGTAATCAGAAACCCCCCGCCCACGCACGCACACTTCAGCTGTTCTTGGGGAGAGCGGAGTTCAACGAAATTCCTACTGAGCGCCGAGAACTCCCTGGGCCATCTTAGCTAAACGCAACGCGCCTTTTGCGCGGAGAGGCGCACGATCGGGTCAAAACGAGCACTGCTCTAAGTCCCAGTTTCGCTGTTTCCTCACTCTTCCATTCTTATTCTAAAGTAGATGCAGGAGGACGATTTGGCGCTTGAAAGCCCCCTACTCCCGTGCCTATCCGGTCCCGCCTGGCGCCTACTCTAGATTTAAAGTCACGACTCTTTTGGCCCCTTACATCCCTTCCGTTGCAGTAGGCCTAGTCTAAGCGGGACTTATGCTGGATAGGTCCTTGACCGCGACCGTGGTGCTTGCTTTCGGTTCCAAACCCTTCCGGCGCAATCCGGAGCGCAGCGTTCCTTCCACCGCGCTGGTGCAGCAGGGCGCTTCGCAGGGAAGCGTCCACGTGCTTTTCCGCACCACGCCCCGGGCCTCCCCACGGCACAGCTCCCATCCTCCCCGAGCGCGGCGTATGCTGCCTCGGGCAGATGGGAGCTGCGGCGGGAGGGCCACGCGCTGCCCCTCCCAGTCTGCGCGTCGCCAAGAAGTTGCGCCCCGCACACGGGCACGTCAAGCCTTCGCGGTGAGGACTGCAAGTCCTATCACCCGATCCACCTGCTGTCCAGGGGGGCTGAAGGCAACGGGGGTTGCATCCCCCCCCCCGCCTGGAGGCTGGGGAAGGCTGGCGGGCACAGCGTTCCTCGCCCCTCCCCAGGCCGCCAGTCTGTCTCCCCAAGCACCCCTCCACCCTCGGCCAGCCGCCCGCAAAGTCCTTCCGTACCAAGCCGTCGGAGCAGCCGCTGGAGGTGGGACTGGTGGGCTCGGAGCAGCTCTGCCCGCCGGCGCCGGCGGCGACGGGCAAGCGGTAGTAGCGGTGGACGTGCTCTCGCAGCAGCGCCTGCAGGCTCTCGATGTAGCGGATGGCGTTGCGCAGGATCTCCACCTTGGGCAGCCGCTGGCTGGGGTTGCCCGCGGCCGTGCACCGCTTGAGCGCCTCGAAGGCTTGGTTGACCTTCTTCAGCCGCCGCCTTTCGCGCAGCGTGGCCGCCTTGCGCCGGTCGCCGGTGCTGGACTTCTTCTTGCAGGCTTTGCAAGCCCACAGCAGGCAGGGGCCGGCTTGCGGATGGCCCGTGGGCGCCCGCACGTGCTGCTCCTCGCCGTCGGAGCCTCCGCCGGGCAGCTCCGCCGGGGAGCGGTGGTGCGGGAGGTCTCCGAAGGAGGAGGCCGAGGCCATCCGCGGCGCCAGGTCCTCCTCGGCCAGCTCCCCCTCGGGGGAAGGAATGCTGGAAGAGCCGTCGTAGAAGAAGACCGCCGAGGATGGAGAAAACTGGCAGCCGCCCATCACCTCCTCCATCCTGGGGCACCCGAGATCTGCGAGCAGGCCAGGCCAGCCCGGGGCTCTTTATACCCACAGGGCCCCCCAGTGGCCGGCGACTTGCTAGGAGCAGCAGTATGCTCCCCCACACACTTGGGGGGGGGGTGGCTAGAATCCCCTCCTGGCCTCCCATGGGGACATTCTGCTGCTTACACGGCTCCTGTTGGCTACTGATTGGCTGTTGCCTTCGCCAAGGCAGAGATCCAGGAGGTGCAATTAGTAACACTTCAGAGATCAGAGCAGCAGGAAAAACAAAACAAAGCAAAACAAAACGGGGTGGGGGGAAGCGAGGGCGATTTCAAAGTCTGGGACTGCGGAGGCAGTTTCCCGGAGCTCCCTGTTAAGAGTAAGCGAGGGGACGAGCAGTTCACCCCTGTGCAGCTTTGCTGGGGAGGAAGCCCCACTGGAATGCTCTCAAAGGTCATGCATAGAATGTGCAGGCCGAGTGGTGTGGGCACACGGGCTAGCATCCCAAATTGGCAGGGAACCACCCTGGCCCTTGATAAGTGCACCAATTAATCCTGAAGTAAGGGTTGGGGTGGGCTAAACCCTAGTAAAACGGCAAGTCCTTATAAAACAATCTCATTGTCATGCAGTGGGAGCCAGATTTTGTCATGTGTCAGGCATTGGCATGCTGGAACCAATGGGACAAGTTAATCGTTACTGGTTCTCTCATAGGTTTCAGTGTGTCTGCTCTAAATATCTGATTCCAACATCTTGACTGGTAATGAAGGGCTCTGTCTCCTCACACAAGAGTTGGTTACTCCAGCTAATTAATAATAATACCATCAACACACACTTTTCCAAAGACTTGCCACAGGATCTTCAGGTCACCCAATTTTCCAGCTGTAGAAGATGTGCATGTAAAGCCCTACTAATAATTTTGTAGTTTTCTGACCAGGAAGTGAATCTGTGGTTATTTTATTTTCTTCAGAAGATGACTCACACTTTCTTATGGGGAATATTAACATCACTGGGCAGCCAAAGCTAAGCTCTTAAAAATCCTATTGCTTTCCATGAGAGAGCGCGACAGACTGAAACAGCCAGGCTAAATTCCATTCTTCCCCCTCACTGAAGTTTATGGGAGGGGGCTTTAAAGGAATAATATCAGGATTGCCTCATGGGTTTTTGAAGGCTCTTCAAACATCTAGGACTCCTACCAGCATACTCCATGAAGTCATGGCCCTTTCTGATATCTCAGGCCAAAAGCAAACTCATTCGGCCCAGCAAACTCACTCCTCCTCGCTTTCTTTCTCCCTCTCCCTGTCTTTATTTTCTTCTGTAGCCTCTGCTGACCCAGGGCTGGGCTTAAGAGGGGGCCGAAATGCTGTCTTTGTACCGTTACAGATGCATTCCAGCTGCCAGTGCCACAGCACCCCCCCCCCATCCACCCTCTGCTAAGTGTAAAATTTCTAGTCTCACAAACCCTGGGTAACTTTACAGAAGGCAGTGACAAAAGCTTCCCAGAGGCGCAACCTATTACGAGGTTGAGCTGGGGTGGGCTGTGTGTGTGTCATTATGCTAGTAATGAAAAGGCATTTAGCAGGCGCTTGCCAAGGCCTCTGGACCCTTTGGCCACCTTCAGATGGGGGCTTGTTAAGAAAACAACTAATTACCTTTGGCGAGGCAATTAACATCCCTGTTTCTGACCATTTCCAGAGGGGCAGACATGTTAGTCTGCTGCAGGAAAAGTGGTGACAAAATGGCACCTTAAACAAAGACACCTTCAGCTGCCTGTGGAAAACTGGCAAGCAGCACACCCTCCTGTCCATGTTCCCCAGCCACGGGCATACATAGGCACACAGCCTCTGACACTGGAGGGAGCACTTGGCCATCAAGACACGTAGCCATCGAGAGCCTTCTCCTCCATGCATCTGTAACAATGTGGAAGAAGTCCTTCCTTTGGCCTGCCCTGAATGTCCCACCTTCCTGAGATGATCCTTTTGGGTTCTAGTCTTGGGAGAGAAGACTCGTGTCTCCACACATGTCTGCATCCAGCACAGCCAGGTGGGAGTTTCAGTTCAACACACTGAAGGAGAGGCAGCCAGTTGGAGAAGGACTCCTGTCTGAAATAGATGCTCAAAAGGCAGGGAGAGCATGGCCATGACAGCTGGGAGTAATGCACACTGGAGACCAACAGAAGGGTAAATGGTTGGCAAGACTGGGTCCAGTGTTCTGAAGGGGAGCATCTGGATTTCTAGACAACCAGCAGATCCATTTTATCCTTTTGTCCTGCTTTGGGGAGGAATTTCCCTCCAGGCAAAACAAGAAAGTCTTTGGTCAAGGTGTAACTCGATTACTTGCCTGGCTTGCAATAGTGATATTGCCTGTTCCATGGAGGTGAAAACAAAGACCCACTTTGCCCTGCAATATATGTGACTTTTGCAAGTGCCGCTGGCTTTTCCAGTGTACTTTCTCTACAGGTGTGTCCCATGGTAGTCAGTCTGAGACCTGGAAGGACTCCCATGGTCTTTTTTTGGGGGGGGGGGGTGCTGAAATGGAACTCTGTATAGCAGAAGGACCACCAGCAAAGCTGTGAGCCACCTGGAGGAAACGGGGTTGTTGCTTGGTGACCTAAAGGAGCACAAGGACTCAATCCAATGATGAACACCATAGTTTCAAGGGAGGAGAAATGGTGAGCCAGACCTGGGTTGCTGCTGAAGACTGTCCTGGGCATTGGAACAGGACATTGTGTGACCGGATGGCAGAGAAATGTGAGCCTCTATAGGGGGCTGGCTCCAAAGGAGGCTGGGTGGTTTCCAAAGGAGGAGACACAGGCAGATTCAAAGGAAGATGAATCTGATGTACTTCTATAGCTGGAGTGGGGGGAGGGGCATCTCCTCCTCTTCCTTCAGCAGCAAAGAATCTTAGGCTAGACTTGGAAAGGTGAGATTAGCCATGATGGCTGTGACTACATCAATGCCTGTCTATCTGGTTATTGTGCCTTAAACAAAGAATATGAAAAGCCACTGGTGGTTGTTCCACAGGCACAAATGGACAACACACAGTTGATCAAATCTCAAGTGGTGGGTTTGTGTTTTCAGTGAGTCACTTCAGCAGGTCTACTGGGAATACAACAAAGAACGGAGGCATTTCCAGCATTGCCTAGTTTTAATGCAGAGTTGAAAGCTGCATGGGGCATTTCCTCCACCCTGCTAGTGCTGTCCATGCATGTTGACTTACCATAATTTCAGGTGAAAGTGCTTGGTGGGTGTGTGTGTTTGCTGCTTTGGAGTAACAGCATTGCTCTTCTGGACTTTAATTATGCAGGTGTTCTCCAGGGGATTTTAGAGCTCCAGAAATGCCACATCTTGCCTTCTTTTTCAAGAGCTTTTGGAAAAGTCCTAAGCTACTGGGGGGGGGGGGGTGAAGGGGGAGGAGAGAGAGATACCATCACTCAAGCAAGTGTGTAATTAGTATCCTTTGGGGACCAGCTTTCTTTTGGTAAACTGATCTCCAAACAAATTTGCAAACCGTCCAGTGCGGAGAGGAACGAGAGAAAGCAAAGGCACTTGTGGGAAAGAACTGGGCACCGACTGACTGAGTGAAAGGCTGCACATGGGATGGAGAGAGCCAGCTCCCACTGGGGAGTTCCAACTCCCACTGGGGAGGGGGAAGCCACCAGGAGCCTGAAGTTTCTTACCGCCAGGTCACTGGAGCACAGCGCGTGTAAACTCGACCCGAGGCTCAACTGTCGAACGAACCTGCTTCCGACGCGTTCAAGGGAAGTCAAGGACGCCCGTGCCATGTTTGTAATTGTAGGGACGGTGCTATGTCTCCTTGAGATCAAGGGCAAAACTCGTCCAGAAGAATGTGAAGCTGGAGTAGTTTTGCATCTGTTTCAGCGACGGGATCAAATCCGCATGCCACGGAAATTAGAAAATTTTTGCAAGGGGGTGGGGAGACGAGAGAGGCGGAGACGCCTCGTGTTTCTGCAGAGCAGGAGAGCTTGTTCTGTACAACGCACTCATTCCACAAAGAAAGAGGTGGCCGGCAAAACGGGGACAGAGTTCGAACAGCGAGCGTTCCTCGGTCAGTGCAAAGCAGGTGGACCTCGGGGCTGGCGTGGGGAGCCAAGGTGAGGGCAAAACTCGTCCAGAAGAATGTGAAGCTGGAGTAGTTTTGCATCTGTTTCAGCGACGGGATCAAATCCGCATGCCACGGAAATTAGAAAATTTTTGCAAGGGGGTGGGGAGACGAGAGAGGCGGAGACGCCTCGTGTTTCTGCAGAGCAGGAGAGCTTGTTCTGTACAACGCACTCATTCCACAAAGAAAGAGGTGGCCGGCAAAACGGGGACAGAGTTCGAACAGCGAGCGTTCCTCGGTCAGTGCAAAGCAGGTGGACCTCGGGGCTGGCGTGGGGAGCCAAGGTGACCCCTGGCTCGGGGAAGGACCGACTTCGCAGGAAGGTGGCGAACAGCTGCTATATACGTGCAAGGGAGGGCTTGGGCGTGGGGAGAGAGAGGAATGAAAAGCACAGGCAAAAGTTCAAGGAATAGAGAGAGGACGCACACGCTGGAGCCTGCATAATATGACAGCCTTCCCCGACAAGCCCGCCTCCCAGATGCTGGGCTACAAGGCCCATGGTCCAAAGTAAAAGATGGACACATTGGCTGGGGATGATAGGAGCTGTACTCTAACACATTGGGAATGGTTGGGGAGCGGCTTAGTGAGACAGGTGGAACAAAAGCACAACTTTGTACCAAGAGCAAGGTGGCTGCCACCTCCCTAGGGATCGCTTGCCTTAAATCGCCGTTTCCTCCTTTCAAACTTGGCGGGCGTGGAAAGGGGCCGGCGGCTCGCCTTGTCCCCAAAGCTCACTCTCCGCCGGCCCGATTCCCTCTCGCCACCCCTCCCCAGCGCAATGCCATGCCTGGAAGACGCGTTTGCGCCCCAGCGCACCTATGTCAACACAGCGGCCTGCGCAGACGGCGGGACTGCTCCTCTGGCCCGGGCCCAGCAGCTGCAGAAGCCATCGG